CCAGGGGGAGGGAAGAGTGAAGGGGAACAGCTGCTGTCGCTTTTCGTGCGTTCGTCGGGGTGTTGGTAGTGGACTACACCTTCTAACAATGACACCAAAGGAAGAACTCAAAGAGGGTCTCTTTTGGGAAGTATATGTTAACTCGAGAAAGCTGTATTTTTGATGCTTTAGCGAGAAGAGAAGCTGGAATGCTTCCTTGCTGTTTTTAACCTCTACTTATTTTGGTATTTCCTTCTTATATTTATGTGCCCGTTTTCGGTTTTTCCATTCAAGGAAGTAGCAGTGAAGATGTTCCAGTGGCACTGCAGTGTCTGAAAGAAATGTTAAAAAAGCGACGCAAGCAGGTATTCAGTCGCATTTATCAGAACATTGGGTACAAATGTTTGTGCGGATTTGTAGTTAGCACGGGAGTTAGTGTAAGCTAGTGTTATAGATTGATTCGTTGAAACATGTTAGGAAAAAATTGTTGAAAAAAATTCTTTTATATTAGTTTTATTTCATTTCAATCGGCATATTTCAACCTGTCTAATTGTTTAGTCGATTGATTAATTGCCAGATTGATGGTTTTTGATCAGCATGACAATTAGGGTCGATAGCTCATTGCACCTTTTAACCTTTAGTCTTTTTTTTTCTCTTTCGGCTTCATAGGTTCCTGTGCAGCGAGTGGCTGGTTTTGTGAAGCGCCTCTGCACTGTAAGCTTACAGTCTGAAGCCAACAGTTCAATGGCTTTTCTCGCCTACGTTAAGTCATTTCTTCAGGTGAATCCAACGCTGTGTAATACAACAATGTCTCATGTCCTATTCTGAGACGTGTACGTATACTCTGTGGTGGTTTTTTTTTATGTATTTTGATGTACATTTCGTCGTTACAGTCGTCACAGAATTCTTCTGTATCATTCTTCTATGATCTCGAAGAATAACATTTCTACACGGAACTGAGGTGCCTTTTCTTTATGCTATGATAGTTACGATCATGATCATCAAAGTTCAGACTGTAGCAGGGGGCATTCCTATGAGGACCAAGCTCATGTTAAACACTAATCTACGAAAACAGTTAGGTTTCAAACGTGGAAAAAAAATCCCTCGCGATAGCTAGGGTTTTATGCAGCCCTCTGACACTTTCCATCAGATGTTTTGAACGCCTTTAAATTTTTCTTCCTCGAATTGTTTCCAGTCTCACACAAAGGTGCAAGCCCTACTTGACAGTGAAAGCATGGGCACTGGTTTGTTTAGACCAGATGTAAATGATCCCGAGCTCAGCAATGCTGAAAGCACGACCGTTTGGGAATTGGCTATGTTGGGGACTGGGCACTTTCACCCAGCTGTTCGCTTGGTGGCTCATCATGTTGCGGAGGGGGCGCCAAGTAAAGGCTCCGGTTCTTCTCTGATGAGAATGTGAGTAGTGTATTTTGATGTATATTTATTGATTTTAATCCTTTTAACAGTGGCCACGCTCATAACTGACCGCCGCCCAGTTAGTCCAATGGATAATGCGCTGGACTGTTGTGCGGGAGGTCGAGGGTTCAAGCCCCGGCCGGACCAACGCTCAAGGTCTTAAAATAATTGAGAAGAATTTGCTACCTTTCTATAACATCAAGAAATGGTTAGATATTCTAGTCTTCTCGGATAGGGACTAATAAATGGAGGTCCCGTCTCCTGCAGGGTTGGGGTAGGAGACGTTAATTTCCCACACACGAGATTACTGTGTGATGGATGTCCTCCCC